ACGAGGAGGAGGAGGAGGAGGAGGAGGCTATGCTTTATGTTTTTGTTTCCCCCAAATGCTTGCGACCAACAGCTACGAGCTGTAATCCAGCTTCCAGCAGGCGGCAGCGCCACTGACGGGAGCAGGGGAGAGGAGGAAGGCCAGCCCTCTGAGAGCGCGCAGGGCAGGCCCCGAGAGAGGGCTGCGGAAGAGGCTGGCGCTTGGGCGGGCTGGTGCGAGCCTCCCAGGAACCTGGGCCCCCCTACAAGGTGTTCGGAACCTCCAGGGTGCTCGGAACCTCCAGGAGGGTGAGGGGAGCGCCCAATGGGGCGCTCGTGGGAGCTCGCGCGCAGCTCAGAACGTCAGGTTTCAGCGGGGGGTGCCTGGGAAGGGGGAGTCTCCGTGGCCCATTTGGGCTCAAGTCTTTCTCTCGGGCCTTTGTGTCCGAGGCTCTGCGCGCTCGGGCGGCGGGGGGCCGCGCAGGGCGACTGCGGGGCGGCCTGCGGCGGCGGGCTGGCGCAGGGCGGCGGCTCAGCACCCAGCAGGGCGGCCCCAGGTGGCCGCTGGCTGGGGCTTCGGAGGTCAATGCTGGAGGGGTCCCCAGCCGCGCGCCCCGGGGCCCGAGGGCTGGGCGCGGCGGCGATGCAGGCGTCCCAGCCCCACTGAGGAGGCCCGCAGGCAGGCATACGCTGCCCCGGGCGTGGCTGAGGCAGCCCCTGGATGATGGCCCTCTTGCCCATCCTCATCGGGGCAGTCGCGGCGGTGGAGGTCGGGCGCCGGTGGAGAGCGCCAGCGACGCCCGCAGTCCCGCCAGCTCCGCGCGTCACCGTGGCGCCCGCGGACGCGACGTGGGCAGCTGAGGGGGGAGGGGCAGCGTACCCTCCTCTGTTGCGGGCGCTGGAGGAGAACCAACGGCGCCGCGACGCGGCGGCGGCGAAGGAGGAGCCGCAGCGCCACCCGGCCCCTCAGGCTGAGCCGCCAGGGCCGTCGGGGAGCAAGGGGCGGACACCCGCCCAGGCCCCGCCACCGGGCAAACCCGCAGGTGGCCTCGCCATCGCTCGGACGTCCATTCCCTGTGCATTTTTCGATTTCGTGCGTGAGTTTTTTTCGTAAGGTGACCCACAATGCTCCTCGATGGTCCTCGCCGAGAAAAAATGCACACGTCCGAGCGATGCCAAGTGGCAAGGGGCGGCAGCCGCCCACCCCGCCAGCTCCCCCGAGAGAGAGGCCCAGGCGCCGAGGCTCAGCGAGGCAGCGTACGAGGACGCACCACCCGCTGGGGAGGCAGGCGCCGCCAGGAGGAGGAGGAGGAGGAGGAGGAGGAGGAGGAGGAGGAGGAGGAGGAGGAGGAGGAGGAGGAGGAGGAGGAGGAGGGAGGAGGAGGAGGAGAAGCTCAGCCTGGGACTAGGTCACAGGGTGGGGCCGAGAGCCCCCAGCCAAGCGCGGGCCGGGAGGCGCGAGGCGACGCCCCCGCGCCGACCAGTGAGGAGGCCGAGGACGAGGAGGACGGCCAGCGCGGCCGGTTCGGCTTCGGGGGCGCGAATGCCGGGATCAGCTGGTTGGGCGGGTGATTCACGGGGCTGCCGATCTGGGAGCTCAGGTGGTCCGACATAGCCTGGAGCGGCGGCGGCGTCATCCGGGGCGACCTCAACACAGTGGGCTGCGCGGCGTTTGGTGCGGGCTGGCCCATGCTGTGCCGGACTGCCTTCGCGGGGCTCATCGTGGCGCTGGTGATCGGCCTCGGTCACGGCCTCCACTCCATCGCTTCGGCTCTCGACCTGCTGACTTGCACTCCACTCAGGTGGTTTGGTCGCCTGCTAGGGTGGTGCTGTCCAGCCAAGAAGCCGGGCCCGACGTCAGCGGACGAAGGTGTCGTGCCTGAGCTCCGTGGACCAGCTACCGCCGCACCTGTGGAGAATTACTTCTACGCGCAGCTGCGGGCGAAAGGAGCCGACAAGGTGCCGCGCCACCTGATCATCAAGGTGGGCGACACGGCGGCCAGGTTGGAGCGTCCCTCGCTGAGTACGGGCATCAAGTACAAGAAGGCTGGGGCCGCATGGCCCTACGAGGAAATGCTGGCGACCACCTCACGTCGACGACGGGATCTTCTCGAGGACTCCCAGGACAAGGTGATCCACATCTGCAGGGAGATGCCCTGCCTCGACGATGGCAACCACGCTGTCCACGCGCTGGCCTTTGGGTACGTCGCGGCCGACACCGATGCCAACTTGGAGGCGCTGATCCTTGCCCTGCTGGTTCGGGAGGGCGGGCGGCTCAGCGGCTTCGTCGTGTGGGCGTGGGTGTGCGGCAGTAGGCTCAAAGGGATGTGCGAAACTCTGTGGGTCAAGGAAGAGGTGCGGGCAGTGCTGCCGATACGCCGGCGGAGCTGCTCGAGGACCCCAACTCGGAGACGGAGTCGGAGCCAGAACACCAGCGGTGCATGGCCCACGACGTCCTGTACCAGGAGGGAGACACCATCTACCAGCTGTCCAAGGAGGAGCGCCGCGACCGGCCCGTGGGAAGCCGATCCGCTCGGTCCCCGAGGATGGGGAGAAGTCTAACGTCAAGGGCTCGGAGAAGGTAGTGACGTTGTGCTGGCAGCATGCCAACACTCACCAGAGGGAGCGTGAAAACAAGAAGTGCGCCCACCTCGGGTGCCACGCGCTCGGCCGAGTGATGAACTGCGGGACTTTTGCAAATGGTTGAAGCGACTGTGCGCCGCGCTAAAACGATAACCGCATTTTGAAAAAGACCCGCCCTCAATCCGTGAAGCTCGTGCACATTTGTACAACGAATGTACGCCGCGCTGCAGCGAGAGCCACATTTTAAAAACCACCCGCCCTCAATATGTGAAACTCTTGCAATTTTGTTAAACGAATGTGCGCCACGCTGAAGCGAGAGCTACACGTTGAAAACTACCCGCCCTCAATCCGTGAAGCTCTTGCACATGTTTAGAGCCACATTGTGAAACTGCTGCCAATTCTTAAGCTTCAGAATCATAAGTGGTGAGGAAGTCTCAGGCGAAACGCCCGGCCCGCCGTGAAAACTGGCCTCGGGGTGCGACAACGAAAGATTATCCGCCGACCCCAGAGGCGTGTGAGGTAAAGGGGCGGGGCTCCCCACCACGCCCCCGCCACGTGTGATCCCAGGCACCTCGAACTCCTGGGCGCCCCAGCCACCTCGACCTCCTGTGCGTGGTGTTTCAGGGCACCCCCACCCTGCAAAAACTCGCGCCGGCATCCCACACCGCGTCTGACATCCCCAGCCACCTCGACCATCTGGGCGTGGTGTTCTAGGGCCTCCCCACCATGCAAAAACTCGCGCCGGCACCCCCCCAACCGCGTTTGACACCCCCAGCCACCATGACCTCCTGGGCGTGGTGTTTCAGGGCCTCCCCACCCTGCAAAACTCGCGCTGGCACCTCCCCCAACGGCGTCTGCCACCGCCAGCCCCCTGGCACCGCCAGCCCCCTACGTTCTTAGGGGCCACCCACCCTGCAAAAACCTCGCCAGCATCCCCCACCACGCCCCCGCCGCGCCTTACACGGCCAGCCCCCTGGCGTGCTGGGCCTAGTTTCTTACGGGCCACCCACGCTACAAAAACCTCGCCAGCAACCCCCACCACGCCCCCACCGCGCCTGACACCGCCAGACCCCTGGCGTCCTGGGCCTAGGTTCTGAGGGGCCACCCACCCTGCAAAAACCTCGCCGGCACCCCCCACCACGCCCCCACCGCGCCTGACACCGTCAGCACCCTGGCGTCCTGGCACCTCTCGCGTGCCTCGAAGTCTACAACTGCGAGGATGTCTCAAGCCAAAAGGGCTGGACCGCCTCAGGACAACGGCGAGGATGTCGAAGCGAAATCGGCTGGACTATCTCTCGCGCGGCATCTCGAAGCCAACAATTGCAGGGATGTCCCAGGCAAGACCGACCGGACCGCCTCACAAGCGGCACCCCAGGGCCCAAAAATAACGATGCTGGCTTCGCCGCCACCGACCCAGACAATTTGTCGCATGGGGTATCCTAGCTTATAATCCCCCCCCGCCTTCAAGGCTGGAGATGGTCCATCGCGATTCCTTGTTCAACCCTATTTTTCCCCTTCGGGGATGGAATCATCGCTGCTCCTGGATAGTTTTTGCCACCTCGTCCAATCTACCAACCGCTGGCCCGAGTCACTGCCACCCCCCACGATTCCAACAAAAACCACTTTAAATACTCCCAGACGGCTTCCCCATTGGAGCTCGGAAACGCGATGCGATCCGTCAGAACCATGATCGTCGAATTATCATGGTTCTGTAGATCCGCCACCGTGCTTCTGGGCACGGAGTGGGCGTGCCCTCAGGTTCGTACCATCATCCTCTCCACCTCAGTCCTCGCTCTTGAGGGAGTCGTTCAGAATCCCAAACCTCACATCGCGAAATCTTCTCCCGGGGCTTCTCGCGGCCTCTCGCGTGACCGTTTCGGAGCGATGGGAACCCCAAAACAGGCCAGCAGGGCCCAAAGAGCGCCCAAGAAGGCCCCAAACGCCCCGATCGCCCAAAGATCGCCACAAGACGCCCTACGTGGCCTCAAGATGGCCCAAGAGGCCCCCAAGATGCCCCAAGAGGCCTCGAATATGCCTCCCAACAGGACCTGAAAAGGCACAACACATTGATTTGCCTTCGTTGTTTGAAAGATTCTGGCGTTCCCGAGATCCCGAATACCACCCCAGCGCTGCCCAAGAGGCCGCCCAGAGAACCCCAAGACGGCCATCGAGCGCCCCAAGACGGCCCAGGAGGCGCCCGAGACGGCCCAAGAGGGCCCCGTGACGGCCCCAAAAATGGCCCAAGAGAAAGAGCACGAACCAAACATCGTAGCGTTCCGCCCCAAGAGGCCCCCAGGAGGCCCCAAGATGCACCCAACAGGCCCCAAAAGGCTCCTTGGAGCCCCCACGAGACCCAACAAAGACCCCACGAGGCTCCAAAACTGCCCCCAAGAGGCCTCAAACTGCATCCAAGAGGCCCCCTAAGGGTCCCAAGAAATCCCAACGACCATCGAATAGGCTGCATACCCACAACCCAGACACAGCGGCGGGATGGGCCGAGGGCCATTTGATAGAGAGGAGTCTGCGGTGCAACAGAGAATCAAGAGTCTCACCTGAACCCTTCCTACCGTGCTCGGAAAAGCACCCCGACAACAAACGTATCAAACATTCGTCGCTCAGTTGGGGTCGGCGGCAGAGGCGGCAGCCTTCAGATTTCAAAGGACAAGGAATGGAGGACGGGAAATAGGGCAAGAATGAGGAGGAAGGAGGGAGGAAGCGGGGAGGAGGAGGAGGAGGAGGACGGGGACCAGGCGGTGCTCTTCCTCTCTCTCTCTCTGCCCTGAGGGGCTGCGCGGGAGGGGGGATATGGAGAGAGAACGTGCTAGCAGGAGCACTTCGCAGCAAAGGTGTTAGATGATGCTCCAGCGCTCTAGCACAAATGTGAAACGCAATCGCCACCAAACATTCCCTTGCCACCTCTCCTCCGCATTCCTCCCACCCCGCCCTCTCTTCCTCCTCCTCCTCCTCCTTCTCCTCCTCGTCCTTCTCCTCCGCTTCCTCCTTCCCCTCCTCCCTACCAGACCCGCCGTGGACCCTCACTCCGCACCCCCCCTTCGCCCCATCGCCAACACAATGGCGGATAAGCGCCGCAGCGCCACCGGGTGGTCAACGCCGTCTCGCCTTCCCATACCTTGCCACCCCTCCGCCTCCACCTTGTCCTTCTGCTCGTCCTCGTCCTCCTCCTCCTCCTCCTCCTCCTCCTCCTCCTCCTCCTCCTCCTCCCCCGCTTCCCTCCAGTAAAAACAAACATACAGGCACAAACATCAACTTTCGGAGCTCCGTGCGGATTTCTTGGAACGGCGCTGGACCAACTCTCTGGCGCGCGAAGCGCGCCAGGGGCGGCGCCAGAAGCGCCGCCAGAGAGGCCAGGCGCCTATCCAAAAGATCCGAGTGTATCTCTGGCCACTTTTGCTTATGCAATTCGTTCTTGTTCGATCCAGATACTCATCCATCCTCCTCTGGCCTCGTAGGCGCAACTGAAAGTCTTGATCAGATGGTACTCCACGTCTCCGAAGAGCTGACCAGAGGCGTAGTAGCGGCTGCCGAGCAGCTTCGTCATCCCGTCTTGCTGCAAGCACTCGAACTGGCGAAGGGAGGAGGCTGCGCTCCCATCCGAGTGGCTGCAATCATTGCCAATGAGTTCCTGAACAGTCCGGAGCGGTTGTGATCCGGCTTGCTGTCGAGGAGGACGAGGAGGAGGAGAGGGGAGATGGGAAGGGAGCAGGGGGGCAAGGAGGAGGCTCCCAGTCCGCCCCCTCCTCCTCCTCCTCCTCCTCCTCCTCCTTTTCCTCCTCCTCCTCCTCTCCCTCCTCCTCCTCCTCCTCCTCCTCCTCCTCCTCCTCCTCCTCCTACTCCCCCCATCCTCCCGCCCCTCCTGCCACGACGGGAAGACTCAGAAGGAAGGGGAGAGATTATCTGGATCCGTTGAGATCCCACCCCACCGAATCGTATCATTGGGGCCACTCGACGCCCTGATCTCCTGGCGGAAGGAAGGGAGGTGGAAGGAGACAAGGGGAAGGCGAGAGAGAGCAGTAAGCTCTTTCTCCTCTCTTGGCTGGGCGTTTCATCGCCACGGTTGCATTCACGTCGAGATCTGGGTGAGAGCGTGCTCCAAGACGGGTTGGGGGGGGGTCTTTTTGGAGGGGGGAAAGAAGGAAGCAGGCTTGTGAGAAGGAGGGGGAGGACCAGTGCAAACCCAAGGCGCACCAACGATGTTGCAGTGAACCCACCATCCAAATTCCCTCCTCACAGGTTTTTTGATTCGCGGGTCGAGAGCGCAACTCTTCCGGTCGAAGCTAAGCGGGCCGCGCGAAGCATGAATTAACAGAGAGGGGAGGAAAATTCCCTCCTCACAGGTCCCTGCAAGAACTGGCTTCATTGCGGGAAGTGCCCGACAACGCACGCCCGAGAATGCTCAAGCGCGCCGAAACACACAATTCCTGGGACTGCATGGGACGTCAACGCCGCGAGCCAGCGTGGCTGCTGCGTCCTGCGAATCCCAAATCGCGGCAGAACGCCTGATGCGGAGCTTCAGATCACCAAAACCAACGTGACTGTTGCGTCCTGCTAATCCGAACTACGAACCCTTGAAACTGATGGGAACTTTCCAAACGAAAGCGCGCGGTGCTAAAACGAAGACCACCATTTGACACGGAAGCGTCCTCCATCCTCGAACATGGAACACGCTTTCAACAAAGCGAATATGCACGGCGCCCAGGCGAGACCAACATGTTGAAAACCTGCCGCCGGCCATCTGTGAATCTGTTGCAAACTTTGAACCAAATGCGCGCGGAACTAAAGCGAACACCCAATTTTGAAAACGAGCCGCCCTCCAGCCGTGAAACAGTTGCAAACTTCAGGCTTCAGTATGATGAATGGCGAGGAGTAGTCTCACACGAAAACACCCGCCCTGCCCTACCGACACGTCTGGGGGCGCGGCAGGGGGGGGGTAGTTACACAAACATGGAACAGAGGGGGGGGGGTAGTTACACAAACATGGAACAGAGGAGGCGGAGGAGGAGGAACGGGAGGAGGAGGACGGCGAGACATAGGAATGGAGGAGGAGGAGGAGGAATAGAGGAGGAGGATGAGGAGGAGGTGGAGGAGGAGGAGGAGGAGGAGGAGAAATAGGAGGATGAGCAGGAGGAGGAGGGGCAGACCGAGGAGGAGGAGGAGGAGGAGGAGGAGGAGGAGGAGGAGGAGGACGCAGCGTCGAGACGTCCAACCTCTGGTTGCCTCACGGATGCCCCTAAGGCCTCCAGGAACCCCCCCAGGTCCCAAGAGGGCCCCAAGAGGTCTCGTCCTCCTCCTCCTCCTCCTCCTCCTCCTCCTCCTCCTTGTCCTCACCCTTCTCCTGTTTCCCTTCCTCCTCCAAGTGCTCCCACAACGGTTTCCAGAATGGCTGAGGGAACACACAGCTCAACAGCTTGGCAGGACGTGGTTCCAACGTTTGGCACATAGGCGTTTCCAACAGGCAGGAGCGGCGGTGGCCTCGCCTCAGCGATCTACATTTTGCGGTTCCCAAATGGCCCTCGAGGCCCCGAGAAGGGCCCAAGAGGTCCCCGAGAAGGGTCCAAGACGAGGAGCCTGAAGAAGCTTTTGGAGCTCTCAACCTCCAGATGGCGCCATAGACCGCCACAAATCCCGAAGAGGCCCTCAAGAGGCCCCAAGAGGCTTCCAATAGTAGCCGGGGAGACCCCCTTGATGCCTTCAAGAGGCTGCAAAGTGCAGGAGCTTCCAAAATGCCTTCCAATAGACCCCAGGAGGCATATAATAGGCCTCATGTACACGACCCAGGCTCAGTGGCGGGTTGAGCCAAAAGCCACTCGACCTACGTCAACCAAAACGAAACGGAGAAGACGAGGACAGGTAGAACATATCATATCAGACAGACACAATGGGCCACTTTGGAAAGTCGCCGCTTCGTCACCGTTCCAAGCCTCTCTGCGTAAAACTTCGGCCAAAGAGCAGTCCTTGCTGGGGTCCTGCGTGTTGAAGATGAACACTGTGGACCGGGGCATTTTGCGCAGGCACTGGGTCGCTGGCGTGTCCGCGATGTGGAAGTTCAAATTCCGGGGATCGTACTTCTGAAAGTCTGTCAAGACACCAGGCTGGCTGACGGAGCTGTTGCAGTGCACGATCATGTTTGCGCTTCGCATCTGGCCATGGTAGCGCACCTCATACTCGCCTGCGTAGGGGCCCGAGGGCTGTACCTGAGGCACGCAGGTGCAATATAACAAAGTGCAATGCATTAGGAACAGATTTTGATCTCTACGACAATGGCAAGGCGCACATGCATTACAGGCACCAGCTGCAAGCGCTCAAGCTGCAAGAATCGCCTGAGACGTACCCAATCCCTTCTCCACGCGAGGCCAATATTTGTATGAGCGCTCCATACAAAAGAACACATCGCCAGATTGGCACGATCAACGCTGCCCTCATCTCCGCCGTCGGGTTTTTGACACCCCCATTTCTCCCAAACCCATCCCCCCAACCCGAAAGCTGTCTTCCTGATATCCTCATGATTGTGGGTCGCTCCTTCATCGTCGGTTTGGGCGAACGGAGACTCGCGTATTGCACCCAGGGCCAACTTCGACGCTTTGCAGAACCTGTGCCGGAGCCAACCTGTGCTGGACCACCGAAGCCTTTCAGCACGACGCAGGCGATGCATCGAGGGCCGGCGGGCACAATTCTGCGCTACTGGTGGAGCTGACCCGGGGGAACACACGCACACGCGCGCACACACACATTGGGCTAGCACTCGCCCTGAGGACCACCGACAAGCAAGAAAACCAAAACAATACTACACACATAAGCATCATCTTCCGGCGGCCCGCACGGCTTCTTTGGGTCGGCGCTGGACACCCTCCCCTTGCTGCGCATCCCGCGCCACGCCTGGCGAGCTCCGCTCGCCAGAAGAGGTGGGCCAGGCGTCGACCCAGGAAAGACGGGCCGCCACACAGGAGCTCACGCTGATGCGTCTTCTGTCTAAGACGAAGCCAGGCCGAGGATAGGACCTGGTGAGGATGAATCGAGAGTCTCTGAGATGCCGCGGTTCTCAGGGATGTCGCGGGCGCCGAGGCATTCTCAGAGCGTTCCGGAACGCTCTGGAACGGATGTATCCTCTGAATTTGCCCTGGGACACACAAATAAATACACACAAATAAAACTATTCCCTATATTTTTCCATATTTTCTGGGTTTTTGTCTTCCCCCCCACTTCCAATATTTTCCCATATTTTCTGGGGAATCGAAGATGAATTGTGTCTGTGTGTGTTTTCTTCCCTCCGGATCCTCGCCCTGGCCACGCCCGATGGCCCCCGAGAGAGAGAGATGGCGGCCGCGGACCCGCAGACACCCCGGGTCTTTGGGGCCCTCGATGTGGCCCTCCGTGTCGTGGTACTGCCCCTGCTTCGACCTTCGCGTCGGGTCCGTCTTGGCGGCGCGCACCGGGGGGGCATAGGGGGGAGGGGGGGAGGCTTCTCAGAAGGAGGGCGCTTTCTGAGAAGGCGCCGGCCGTACAATCATAAAGTTGAGGGATGGAAAAACGGCCCTACCCTGGGTTACAAGTGCGCGGTCTGTAAACCTCCTGGGAACCCCCAAAACCTAGAGCCGCCAGGACTCGGCACATCACGCAGGGTTTACCCTGTCAGCCCACAGGAGTTTCAGCGCACGGCGCCTCGTAAACCAGGGTGGGGGCGTTGTTTCTGCCCTTGAGAAAGGCCCGAGCCTTCTAGGGGCCTGGGGTGCCTCTAAGAAGCCTCCCCCGCCCTGCTCGGCTACACGCAGGTGCGACCCTGGGTAAGGAGTGATCTGTGGTGCGCGGCTTCAGAGGGCGGAGGGTGGCCGACTCCGAGCGCGCAGGCAGCCACTGCCGCATCGCGCTCGGCGGGCGGGGGGACCCCGGGTGCGCCCGCACCAGAGGTCACTCCAGCGCAGGGCCACTCTTACCCAGACCCCCGACGTCGTGCTTTTTTTCGCAACGTCGACCCCACGAGGCGTGGGACCCCTTCCCAGGGACCTGTCTGAAGTCGTCTTTTGGCGGTCCCAGGGCCCGGCGAAGGGCCACCGGAGGCCGAAATTAGATGAAAAAAAAACCCTGTCGTGATTTCTTGTCAGTCCGAGGAGGTCCTGGGCGCGTGTGCAGCCGACCCGCCCCCCTTCTGCGCAGGGCCGCCTGGCCGGGCCGATCGCGCCGGCCGGGCCGGGGGTCTCGGGCGGTGCACGGAGCTTGGGCGTGGCTTAATGGGGGGGTCATAGATGGGGGGGTCAGAAAAGGTCCCCTTTCGTTTCCCTTTCGGGCCCCATCCGGACCCCCAGGGGGCTCGTTTAGGTACCGTTTGGGTACCTTTTCGAACCACCCTCGACACCCCCCCCATCTACGACCCCCCCATTGCGCAACGCCCAAGGGCGGTGCACGGAGCCCCGGCCGGGCCGGGGCCGGGCGCGCCCCGCCCGTGGGAGGGCCAGCGCCCTTCCAGGCCGAGGCTCCTCGGCGCGCTATCGCACCCTCGCCGGCCACGGCCAGGGGCGACTATAGAGAGGGCCCCGCCGCCCGAGCCCGCCCGCACTGCCCTCACGGGAGGCGGCTGGATTTTGGGTGCTGTTTGTCGTCTTGCGTTCGTCTTGTGCTTCGCTGTGCTCTTCGTTTTGTCGCTCGTCTTGTTGCTTGATCTAGATGCTGTTTGTCGTCTTGCTTTCGTCTTGTTCTTCGCTGTGTTCTTCGTTTTGTCGCTCGTCTTGTTGCTTGAGCTGTTCTTCGTCTTCTTCTCCTGGGTGGTGCAGCCTCGACCCGCCGCGCGCCGGGGCGCGGCTGGTGCGTGCGCGTCTGCGCTTCCGCGGGGAGTTCCAGGCGCAGCCGAAGTCCTCACAGGGGCACGCAGCGGCCTGCGTGCGTCCAGGTGGAGCGAGCTGATCAGAGGCGATGCACACGAGGGATCTCGAGATCCACAACGTGTCCGAGGGACGCCCCGTCCAGCCGAAGCGGAGGGAAGACAAGCAATACAGAAGATACAGAAGTGGCAGCAGAGCTGGAGGCCTCCGAAACGAGGTCCGAGAGGCCTCAGATTCGCTCCAAGGCGGCTCCAAGTGACCACGGAGCTTCCCAAGAAGTCCCCCAAGAGGCCCCCCAACAGGGCCCAAGAAGAAGGCCCACGAAGGGCTCCAGAGCGCCGCCGCCGCCGTCGTCGTCGTCATCATCGTCGTCGTCGTCGTCGCCGTCTTCTTCTTCGTCGTCGTCGTCGTCTTCCCCCTTCAGGTGGCACTGGTCGTAAGGCCTTCGTAATGTACAAGAGTGGTACCAGAGCTGGAGGCCTCCGAAAGGAGGTCTGACCACAATTAGGGTCGCAGGAGCGCGCCGCACCGCCGATGAAGCGCCGACGTCGTAGGCGCAGAGAAGTTCGGGCCCCGCAGTGAGCCGCATCGCCGATGCATCGGCGGTGCGATGCGATCCCTGGGCGTTGGGGCGAGCAATGGGGGGGTGAAGAGACGTGCACCTTCCGTGCCCCTATGTTTGGCCTGTGCAAGAAAGTGCACCTTTCTGCACACCTCCGCTAAACGCCCCCCCCATATGACGCAACGCCCGACGATCCTCCGACCCCATCTGTTCCAGCCCCATCTGGGAGGCCTGGGAATGCGGACAGACGCGCGGGACGCGGACATCTTCTGGCCCTTGGACCGTCAACACGCACTCAGGATAAAAAGCTGGTCCCGGGGGGACTGGTCTAGACTCTCCGGGGGCCCATGTTGCGAACGCGTCACGACGTCGAGGGTCTGGGGAGCCTTCCTGCTTTTTGCCCACGCGTCTGGTGCGGGCGTGGTGAGGCGCTGCGAGCTTGCGGCCACTACCACATGGGAAGGAAACGCTCCCACACCGTCGAGATTCGCGGCCAACCCTGCGGCGCCCAGGAGCTAACTCGGCAAGAATACAGTCGTGTTCGTATGGCAACCCTATGGCGCCCAGGAGGCCGCGCATGGGTAGAATCGCAGCAAGGGCATCTTCTTGCGCGCATGACGACCCTGTGGCGCTCAAGTGCGCGCACACGGGAACCCTCCAATATAGGCTGGCGCTTACGTGGGCTCACCCGCCTTTGTGCGCACCAGCACAGGGGCCTGCTGGGCTGGACGGACGCCGACTTTTCCTTCCTACAGCGCTCTCTCCTCACCCGGCCATTCCCCCTATGGAGGAGGGGATGCGGAGGACTCGCACGCTTGTTGCTGGCGAAGATGTTCAAAGATCCACCAAATACGGTCAAACCCTGGCAGGTAATGGCGACTGGAAGACTGCAGGCAAGCTGCGGTCTGTGCGCCCTGGGAAGTAGCAATGGTGGGACGACTCCTGGCGAAATGCGGTCGGTAAAAACGGTGCCGCTTCTCCGTCTGAGTTCACGGCCCCGTCTGCGACAGCTAAGCATCCGAGGAGCCCTCCAACCCCCCCTCCCACCCTCACTACTCATTTGGCTCAGCACACGCGCTCAGTTGATCGAAGCCTGAGTGCACGCTCGTCGCTGCAGCGTCCAGCAGGCCTGTGACGCACAGGATGGGGGACTGCCATTACGCTCGCGCGTGCTTGCGCTGAGGCTATCGCGTTCTACCGCTGCCATTTTCGTGCCACGCTAGGGGCACGGGACAATACTGCCCTGAGATCCGACACTGCGAAAAGATGCGGCACCGCGAGCCGCCACGACCAGAGCCCTAATTAGACCCAATCTCTCTGCTGCATGCTTCGAGCTGGACCGATCTGTGATAGCCCCCAGGCCTGGCATGGCGGATTTCGGAAGCCCTCAGCCCAAAAACGCTTCCTTCTCTCGGGGGCACATCTTTTACCTCCGCCGTCTTCCATCGAGCTTCCGCCGGCTTCCGATGGCGGAGGCGGCCTCGTCTTACGTCCGCCGACCTTACGCCGCCTTCCGCCGAGGAGGAAGAGATGACAACTCCTTCGATCCTCAAAGGCAAGGCCCTTTTTGGAACGCCCCAAGTGGCAGCGCCCACATCACAGGGTCAGGCGCATGGCTGCGCCCAAACTAGCGCGGCGCCTGCGCCGCCTTGTGGGTGGCAGCCCCCGCGACGCCCAGGAGCCGCACGCACCGACGTCAACATGTTGGATGCTCGGCCGCGCGCGCAGCGCGTGCTTTTCCTGGCGCGCCCGTGGCGCCCGCGCTCGGAAGCCGCGCGTGCACACACATGCCACACGCGTGCCTGCGCCGAGTGGGGCGCGCACCTGCGCTCCACCCAGACTTCCTCGCGCTTGTGGACAAACATCACGACGGGAAGTTTTTTTCGTTGTTCCCGGCCACCAGGGGGCCCTTCCTGGGCCTCGGGGCCGTCAAAAGACGACTCAGGATGAAATCCCGGTCCCGGGGAAGGGGTCTGGACCTCTAGGTGTCGATGTTCAGAAAAAATGAAGGGGCCCCGGGACACGCAAATAAATAGACACAAATAACAGGATTCCCCATACTTCTTCCATATTTTCTGGGTTTTTGTCTTCCCACCCACTTCCCATATTTTCCCCCTATTTTCTCGGGAATCGACGATTAATTGTGTCTGTGTGTTTTTTTCCCTTCCTGGAAAGTCATGACGTCGGGGGTCTGGGTATCTCTGCCAGCCCCGGTGAGTCTCAGGAGCCGACTCGAGGGTGGGGGGGGGGGGCTTTCGCACTCGCGCGCGCTTCGGCGCGGAGTCCGACGCCCGCTGGCACAGGTCGGGCGTTGGCAGGACTGGGTTTAGTGGAACCTGGTTTAGTGATGTGCACTGGGGAACGCCCCCCCCCCCCCCCCCCCCGTTCCACTGACCGGGGCTGCCGTCACCCGAGAAAACACCAGCTACGGCAAACCTGGTTTAGTGATTCTGGCCAATTCAAGGGCTCCGGGGCCCTACTACTAACCGGGTCCCCTTACCCGGGGTCCTGACCCGGGGTCCTGGCTATACCCGAACAGGGGGGGAGGAGAGGAAGGTCCAGACACCCGACGTCATGACTTGGTTCATAGCGTGGAGGAGGCCTGGAGCTCCGGACCCCTTCCCAAGAGCCGCTCCTCATCCCCAATTTCTTCAAGGCCCCTGGGCCCGGTGCAAGCCTCCAGAAGCAGAGAATGGCCAGACACCTTCCGCCGTGATTCCGCCACGATGCAACGGGGCCTGGGTCCTCCTCCTCCTCCTCCTCCTCCTCTTCCTCCCCTGAACTCCGACATCGCGAACAGAAACAAGCAGCACCGCCAAAACACGAGCCACAGAAGCCCTCGATCCAGCGTGCTGCAGCATGTCTCTAACCGGACTGGCCGAGGCTGCCATCAGGGCCCGCCGCCTGGCGAAGAGGCCCGCCGAGCAAGCGCTGCGACGCCCGCGGGGGTGTCGGGGGTGGGTTCGGACCAGCACCTCGAGACGGACCTTTCACCGCGGCGACGGGGAGCCTCCCAGAGGCCCCACCACGGGCGAGCCACTTCCACGAACCTTGCTCCGCGAACCTCGGTCCCCAGGCTTTTCTTGTCGGCGGCGAGGCGGAGACAATCCGCACCAGCGCGGGGCGGGGCTGATCGGCGCAACCGATCGGCAAATTGTCTGGCGTGCAAGAGAGAGAGAGAGAGAGAGAAGAGAGAGAGAGAGAGAGAGAGAGAAGAGAGAGAGGCGAAGGCGAGGGCGGCCGCGCAAAGGGTCGAGGGGGAGGGCGCTCAGACGTGGAAGGTCGATCCCCAGACATGCGATATCTTGATTGCTCCATGCGGTGTCCCCAGAAGCCCCAACCCTTTCCCGCGGGCCCTCGCCATGGCCAGTTTCTCATCCCGAGCCGCTCTTCGACAGTCCGGGGGATCTGGCGAGGGCCCCCGGAAGCCGAAAACGGCCGAAAACCACCCGCCTGATTTTCAAGCGACGAGAGCATGTCTGGGTCCTCGCACCTCGACCCTGCTCCTTCCTCCTGCTCCCCCAGCTGCTCCTGCTCGTCGCAGGCGCCGCCCTGGCCGCCGCGGCCGCTTCTGGCCGCCGACCGCGCGAGGATCGGGCAGGGACGCTGAGGCCTCGGCATGAGGAAGCAGCTCCCCTGATTCGCACAGCGGACCCGGCCCTCTGCTGAGCACAGGACCCCGACCCCCTCGGGTCATGAACAATAGAAGCAAACAAACACGCCATACTTGTGGCTCTCCGCGCAGATTTCTTGGATCCGCGCACGGGCCCCCCCCCCGGCGGCGCCTCTGGCGCCGCCCCTGGCGCACTCCACTCGCAGATCCAAGAAAATCCGCGCGGAGCGCCAAAATTTATGATTATGGCGTTTCTTCTTCGAAACCAGTCACAGCAGGATCCGTGCTGATGCGGTGATGCTATGCTCGGCCTCTATGAGGCCCCCTTGCCAGGTCCCAGGACCGCCATACAGGACCTGTTCGCCGGAGTCCCTGTTCGCCGGTCTCTGTTCGCCCGTCCCCGCTCGCCGGAGTCCCCGTTCGCCGGGTCCCCGTTCGCTGGAACGCCCCGTTCGCCAAAGTCCCCGCTCGGAGGGGCGACGCTCGCTGGAGCCCCGTTCGCCAAAGGCCCCGTTCGCTGGGGCCCCGCTCGCCGGAATCCCCGTTCGCCAAAGGCCCCGTTCGCCGCGTCCCCGTCCGTTCGCTGGAATCCCTGTTCGCCGGAATCCCTGTTCGCAGGTCCCTGTTCGCCGGTCCCTGCTCGCCGGAGTCCCCGTTCGCCGGAATCCCTGAGTCGCCTGGCGGGCGGGCCTGGCGTCGGGCGGGGCCCTAACGGGCGGGCGGGCTAGCGGCCGGCGGACCAGGCGGCGACGACGAAGACGACGACGAAGACGACGACGACGACGACGACGACGACGACGACGACGACGACGACGACAAGGGAGCCAACGACGACGACGACGACGAAACCGACGACGACGACGACGACAACGACAACGTCGAGGACGACGACAACGTCGAGGACAACGACGACGCCGACGACCACAACGTCGACAACGACGACGACGAAAACGAAACGACGACGACGACGGGCGGACCCTACCGGGCGTGCGGCGGGTCGGGGGGGCGGGACATTAACGTATGACGCGTAATCGAAATATCACACGCACACCCCGACGTGCGGGTCGGGTCGGGCGGGCGGGCCCTAACAGGCGGGCGGGTCGGGCGGGGGGCGGACCCGAACGGGCGGGCGGGCGGCGGATGGGGCGGGCGGGACATTAAAGCATAACGCATCACTGGAGTAGCACCCGCGCATCCTAGTGGGCGGATCGGGTTGGGCGAGCGGACCCTAACGGGCGGGCGGGTCGGGCGGGCGTACCCTCGCGGGCGGGCGGGCGGCGGGTCGGGAGGGCGGGAGATTAAAGTATGACGGGTAATCGGAATAACACACGCGTGCCCTGCAGGGCGGGTCTGGTCGGGCGGGCGGACCTTAACGGGCGGGCCGGGTTGGGCGGCGGGCGGACCCCAGCGGGCGAGCGGGCGGCGGGTGGGGTGGGCAGGACATTAAAGTATGATGCATCATTGAAGTAGCACGCGCGTACCTCAGCGGGCGGGTCGGGTCGGGCGGGCGGACCCTACTGAGCGGGCTGGTCGGGCGAGCGGACCCTAACGGACGGGCGGGCGTTCGGCGGGCGGGCGGGCGGGGCATTAACTATGGCGTAATCTGGGTAGCACACGCGTGCCCTGACGGGGGGGCCGGGTCGTGCGGGCGGACCCAAACAGGCGAGCGGGTCCTGCGGCGGGCGGGGCCCTCGCAGGCGGGCGGGCGGCGGACCAGGCGGCGACGACGAAGACGACGACGAAGACGACGACGACGACAAGGGCGACGAAGATGACGACGATGACGACGACGACGGGCACGACGACGGCAGCGACGACGGCGACGAAGACGAAACGACGACGACGATGACGGCGAGGTCGGCAACGATGACAACGACGCTGACGACGACGACAACGACGACGACGACAACGACGACGACGACGACGACGACGATGAGAGCGACAACGACGACAAGGGCGACAACGACGACGACGACGACAACGGCGACGACGACGACGACGACCCTCATCCCCTGCACGTCCTGCTCCTCCTCCTCCTCCTTCCTTCCCCTTCTCCTTCAGCTCCTCCTCCTCCTCCTCCTCCTCCCCTCCTCATCCACCTCATCCTCATCCTCCTCGTCATGGTCAGGATCATCATCATCATCATCATCATCATCATCATCATCATCATCATCATCATCATCATCATCACCACCTTCATCATCACCATCTTCATCATCACCACCACCACCATCGTCACCACCACAACCACCATCACCACCACCACCATCATCATCATCACCATCATCATCATCATCATCATCATCACCATCATCATCGTCATCATCATCACAGTCAACCACCCCGCTGCAAATCTGGCGAACTAGGTCTGAAGAACTGGGCATGGAGAACCGGGCCTGGCGAACCGGGCCTGGCGAAGTGGGCCTCGCGAACCGGGCCTGGCGAACCGCGCCTGGCGAACTTGGCCTGGCGAGCGGGGTCTGGCGAACCGGGCCTAGCGAACAGGTCTCTGGCGATGGGCCTTGGCGAACCGGTCCTCTAGCGAACCGGTCCTCTGGCGAACCGGTCCTCGGCCAACTGGTCCTCTAGGGAGTGCTCTGCCCTGGGAACTACACCCAAGCTGAGAAAATGAACTTCACTCCAAGCGTGTTCTGAAAGAGAAGTCTAGGACCATATATACTCATACGACCGCCCTGCGGGCGCAAAGGAGGTTAGGGGGGGATTGAGATCAAATGCCCACCCTGACTGACCTCCAGCTTGTCACCTTGATCTCATCTCTCTCTTTCTCTCCGTCTCTCTCTCTCTCTGTGTCTCTCTCTCTCTCTCTTTTGCCCTCTCGCTCTCTCTCTCTCTCTCCCTGTCTATCAGAGTCTCCCTCCATCACAGTGATGATCGCGATGGCGATGAAATCCCACTATCTACCTATCCGTCGACCGACCTATCTCGATCTCACTATCGACCTCAAAAGCAAAATGAGAAAGCCCGCCGCAGGCGCCGAAAGACGATTTGTTGTCGGACAACCACAGGACAACCATCGGCACAACCACCAGACAACCATCAGGACAATCACAAGACAACCATCGCATACTAGGTAATATCTGTCTCTCTCTCTCTCTCGCTCTCTCTCTCTCTCTCTATCTATCAGTCTCCCCCTCCACGACAATGATGGCAGTGACGATGGGTGATGGGCGCGGCGGTGCTGACAGCAGCGATGGCGGTGCCAACTATGATTCATATATTTTTGTCGCGCCCCACTTGAGTCACCACGGTGGCGGGATCAGATAAGCTGGATTGGATAAGAAAGCCCGCCGCAGGCGTCGACAAAAATGAGTTGATGGATTGGGTTGGGTTAGATGGATTGGATAAGGTAAGATGGGTTGGATTGGAAGAAATGGATTGGATAAGGTAAGATGGATTGGATTGGCCCGCCGCAGGCGCAAAAACAAATGAATTGATGGATCGGGTTGGGTGGATTGGATTGGGTGGGATTAGATAAGATGGGACAATATGGGTTGTATAAGATAATATGGATTGGATTGGACAAGATGGATTGGATACAATAAGATAAGCTGGATTAGATAAGAAAGCCCGCCGCAAGCGCCGAACAAAAATGAATTATGAAATTAGCGACATGCGTTACCGCCGGGACGCCCGGGACACCCAGACACCGCCAAGCCCAACTGGGACACCTCCCGGCCACCGGCGGACGGGAAACGGACTTCCGCTCCTACCGACACCCAAGACCCAGGACACCGCCCGGCCCAACTGGGACACCTCCCAGCCACCGGCGGACGGGAACAGACTTTCGCTCCTACTTCGGCCTAGCTACAGGAGGGTCACGCGCAGCTTCGCCTCGCCCGCACGCACGACACGAACACGAAAGCGTAACCGATGTCCCGGTGGGGGGTCTCCGCTTCACTGCGATCCCACCCCCCAACCTCCGACGACCTCCACGGAAACAAAGAGCTCCAAGAAAACGTCCAGGGTCCAGTCCATAATCTTGCTTCTCTTGAACGACAGCTGGCGTCCATGAAACTTGATGTTCTTTCCGAAGGTTAATGGTGGGTGTCATTGCGGCGGGTTCACATCGCGATGGCGATGGCGTTGACTCCTGACTCCGCGAGAGACGTTCAGCCTCGAACGATCGCGGCTTTCTGGTACCGCGGCTCGTTCGATGCTGGCCGACTCTGGGCAACTGGCGGTGTACAACCTTGCACGCCCACGATGGGGTCGCCGCCGCGTCGAAGCGGCGCGAAACTGCCGAGGGAAGGACGGGGGCTGCTTGTCACAGGGAAGCTGGAAACGGTGGGGATCTTCGCATTCTCACCTTTTTGGGCTCCCGTGGGCGTTAGGACCCAAAACAGCCTAAGAGGACCCCTGGACGGTCCAAGACGGCCTCAGGACGGCCCCCAGAGACTCCCCGCGGCCCAAGAGGGCCTTGACAAAGCCAAACAAGGCACAACGGCCCAAGAGGGCCCCACGGGACCTTTGAAATTACCCCGCAAGGGGATCAAGACAAGCCCCTTATACGGCTCCTCCCTCCTCCTCCTCCTCATCATCATCCGCATCATCACCATCTCACCATCATCACCACCATCCTCGTCCTCGCAGTCCTGCTCTTCCTCGTCATCATTATCAGCATTACCACCACCGCAATCGTCATCATCACCACCACCACCATCACCATCATCCTCATCATCAGCATCGTCATCGTCATCGTCATCCTCATCATCGTCATCGTCATCATCATGATCATCATCACCATCAAGTCGTCGTCATCGCCATCATCATCATCACCATCATCAACACCGTCATCATGCTCAGCATCATCACTGCATTCATCACCATCAAATTACGCATCCCACTCTGCTACCATACTTACACAGGACAAAAGATTTTCCTCTTGAGGTGACAATGGCCATGAGGAGTTCGCGAGACAACGTCGGCGCCGCCGAACGGACGGCGACCAGACGAGCTGTTTGCAGCAACCGGGGGGAGAGGGAAGTATGCATTCATGTTGAAT